TGATGTTACTATGGGGAAATTCCGTTCCTGGCCAACTGTCCATGTTAAGCGGTTGTCCACATTAGCCGTGTCCACATTAACCGGACTCCACTGTATTACTATTTAGATATGAGCCCGGAGGAAGATCTGTTTTTTGGAGAGATAGATAAAGAGTTCACCCATGAAAACAGCGGTTTGCAGTAAGGTGAATGGTTCGAAGGGATTTCTGGAAAACACATCATTGGGAAGCTGACAAAAACTAAGAAGAGAAACTGCAACTCCTGGATATATTTCCGCTATTGGGTCGAGAAACGAGAGGGACTCAACCTTAAGTGAAGTCGTTTTCTACAAAATTAGCTCTGCAGAGAATAAGTTCCTCATTGAATGTTTATTGGTCAGCTAAAAATGATTTCTAACCACACCCTATACCCAAAACCATATTTATGCCGTAAAAACGTACATCACATACACCGAATACTGGGTATTAGGCAGGGGAGACATCTGAAGAAGATGTGAACACCAGAGCACACGCACGCAGAGTAGGGACATTTGATTTAATCGTCATGATTAATTAGAATCACCACAACCAGAGAATAGCTGCGACCATCGCGGGATTTATTTTACGGCGAGGACGACTTGCGATGTACTTACTCCAGCACTCAAAATGTTCCGAAAGGAACTGAGGTCAAGAGAACTGAAGATGGGTGTGAACCCAGAACAAAGCTTTAAATAGCGTGAGTTATTCTAAACCAACTAGGCCTCAGACTCCAGTCATCCGGATATCACCTTATAAATCGTATAGGAGGGTTTTGTTAACCTCAATCTACAGCCACCGCCGAGGATACACTAAAAAGTCCAGAGATTCTAGATCTTCAAGGAAACAGAATAGCCTTGGCGGCAGAAGCTAGCTGCAACAGCTGTCTTGCTTACCAAAGCACCAATCAGGGAGAGGTGGTGCAGCTGGACAGTCGTCTGGATCGCCGTACCTTTCAAACAACTCCTTCAAGTAATCCGCTTTGTAGATGCCGGGTGGTCTGGCCTCGGCGAACAGCTGAAGAGCGCACTCCAGACTGGTACAAAAAAGGCAAAAGGATGCGAGAGATAGAGAGGCCTCAGGTGAGAAGACACCTAACCACCATTGAAAAGAAGACTCGATCGCTGGGACGATACTTTTATTCGCCTGACGTTTCGATATCCGTCGTGGATTCATCATCAGAGATATAATCACAGCGCAGAAGCCAATACAGGTAGTGTATGTACAGGAGTTCTTACGGTATAAGACAGTTAAAACGTGTGCGAAAAATCGATAACTGTTTGGTGTGAGTGCTGATTCGCTACGTCAGACATAGGATGACGTGGTGGTCTGTCCGTTCCTCAAATTGACTCTCAGCGCCAAATATGGATTGGGCAAATCGTTGCACTGGTTAATGGAATGGGGGCCTGTGAACCATGACTCGAGTACTTCTCGGCTCACCCGATTGTCACCTCTGGCGAGAATTTCGGCCCCATCAAATTTGAATGTGTGGCCGGGTCTCGTCGAAT